AGGAGAACCCATTGCTCCTCCACGAATTTGATGATAATATTGACCTTTATAAGAAAAATAGTTATTTTGCATAACAAATCGACTTAATCTAATTATTGTTTCAATTTTAAGACCCCCAACTTGCTTTAATTTTAAGTGGTCTAACATTTTCTTTAAGGAGAGTACTCCTTCAGTTTGTGGCACCATAGTATAAAGGTCTGTCACATCAATTGTACAAAATAAAGTTTCTTGACGTATATTAATACTTGACCATTGTTGCAACTGTTTGACTAATTCAAAGCCAGAATTTACAGTTGTTTTTGCAGCCATCTTATCAAATAAAGGTCGAAGTAATTCGTCGAGGAATTTTGAAATTTTAATTGCAGGATGTTTGAGACCAGATATAATTGGACGAAGAGGAGTACCAGGCTTATGTGCCTTAGGTAGATAATATAAATGAGCAAGTTCAACTTCATTTGGATTAATACAAAGTTTTTCATACTGTTTTTGGGTAATCCACTTGGCTAATCTTAAATCTAATAAGTATTTATTAGTCCGACGAATCAAATCAGGTAATGGGTCTTCAGTGCCTAAACATTTATAGGCCTTTGTTTTCTCCATATATTCTTCTGATTTTTTGTGATAATCGTCGAGTTTACCTAAGTGGAATACTTTGTTTTTATCAGATTTTTGAAGAACAATATTTTTCAAATGAAGCTTATATTTTAACCGTTTAATTAATCGTCCATAATTTTTCTTCTTTTTAATAATAATTCTAGAATTAATATCTTGAGACTGACTTGATTCTATACCAGAAACTAAATTATCATAAGTGTTATTTTGATTTAATATATTTCTAAATTTTCGAGGATTTCCAGGGGTATTATGTAATTTTTGAAGCAGAACATCTAAGGGTGTGGGTGTGGGTGGTGGGTGTGGGTGTGGGTGTGGGTGTGGGTGTGGGTGTGTGGGTGTGGGTGTGGGTGTGGGTGTGGGTGTGGGTGTGGGTGTGGGTGTGGGTGTGGGTATGGGTCTGGTTGTTACTGTCC